TCACCTTTGCTCAGATTCCTCCCAGGTGCCCCTGCCCTTTCTCCCCCACAGGGAAGTAGGGAGGGGGGCAGGGGGTAGTGGAGAGGAAACACTTTGTAAATGACAAAGCACTACCTGTCCTGAGCCTTGCCATCACTGTCAGGGGTCATGTGGCCTTGACCCTGATGCTTGGGCTCCTGAGTCAGCTCTCCTGGGTGTCACTCTTAAAGGGCCATGGCACTCAGCCTCCTGTAAGACCCCCTGGCCCTGCTCCACCATCTGACTGTTTCCTGATTTCCAGCCTGCAGAGAGTGCCTGCAAGAACTGGAAAAGGCTCGGAGCCTAATCACTCTTCTTGGAAGGTAAAGAATCTTCCCCTTCTCTCCAGGGTCCTCTTCCCTCCCGAACCTGTGATGTCACCTTAGGCCGCCTGGCTCTGACCTGGGAGGGGCCATGGGACAGGGTGTGGCTATGGCCCTGAGGTGAGGGACAGCAGGAGCACTGGGAAGTCAGTGTCAGGGCCATGGAGGACCCTGGGTCCCAGGTGCCCACCCCGCCCAGCCTGCCCGCCTGCTCCTGGCTGCAGCCTGTGCCCCCATCTCCTGCAGCCACCTGGAGAGGCCCCCTGAACAGGGCAGCTTTCGTCAGCGCTCCCATCAAGACCCCTCTGGTGAGTTCTGCAAAGCAGCGCCTGCTGGAGCCAATAGGCCCTGTGGGGAGCTTGTGGAAGATGCTGCTCCCACCATGTCCCCCTCGGCTTCTCTGGCTCCTGTGACTGAGTACCCGTTACCTCTGGCCTCCACCTTGTCACCAGGCCCGCCAGCTCCTCAGTTTCCCTTCATTGCTCCTCATCCCTGAGTGCCTCTCGGCCACCAGAGCCTTTCCTTCCCCTGGCCGACCTTTCACCCCAGCCACTTGCACTTTCCTCCCCCTCACTACTTCCCCCTGACTCAGGGGCCCACCCTCCACCTCCCACAGCCTCCTCTGCCCCCCACCCAACACCAGCCTCCACTCTGACTCTTCCCCAGTGTGACTCAATGACACTGACACTGGGCCCCACCCCGCAGAGTTCATGTCCACACACACCTCGGTCAGCTTCTCCCACCCCAGCCATCTCAGGCCTTGGCCACTCAAACTGTCCCATTTCAGCCCTGTCCTGGTGGCAGGTGGCTGCCAAAGCCTCATGCCTCTCAGCCTCATCACAGTGGGAGTCCCAGCAAGAGCACCTGTCTCACCACCCACCAGAGGCCTCGTTCCAGGAAGACCCCACAGACAGACAGGCAGAGGCTGGGGGCCTCTCTTTGCTCAGCTCTGATGAGCAGAACCTCCTGGAGATACACATCGCAAAGAGAATCAACATAACGATTTTGAAAGAAAATGAAAAATATGCATTATATCCAAAACAAATGAACCCAAACTACCACCCGCACTCTTTGGGGAATACGTGGAAATCACTGGGTGCTGAGCAGGACACCACAACCCCCCAACCCTTCTGGAGCATGGAGGACGAACAAGAACAACTGCATAGTCCTCTGCAGCTCTACAGCCAGCTTTTTTGGGGTCTCCCCTCCCTGCACAGCGAATCCCTGGAGGCTACTGCCTGGACATCCAAGGGCTCTTCCACATTACAGCCTCCACCTTTCTTATTCAATGGCATCTCGAGTGCCTGCCCAGTTCAACTGCAGGTTACAATGCCTCCACTGCTCTCCCATTCCCAGCACATGTCTCACTTGGAGTTCCAATCTCCACCCTTGCTTCCAACCATGCTTCAATTACAGCCCCCACCTCTGGCTCAGGTCCAGGCCCGGGGCCATCTCCCATCCTCTCTACCAACCCTACCACCTTCTTCTCCACCTCAGATGAGGGGCTGTGGAGTATCATGCCCGACAGCCCAGAATAAGCCACAATCTTTAATCCCAGTTGAGATTCAACATCCAGAAAGGCCCTTGTTGCAGAAGCAAGTAGAAAGTGGGTGGGATTTATCCTCTGTAGTCAACAGATCTCAGGAAGTCTTCAGTGTCTTCACAGCCAACCTTCCCAAGAACAGCATCCTTCCTGAGAATTTTCCAATCAGCCCTGAGCCCCGGAAGCAGCTGGAGCAACATCCCCAAAACTCGCATATGCAACACAGCTGGGAGCTGTCCCCCAAGATCCGAGAACCTCCAGAACTAGGGCAACATCAGAGCGAATTACCAGGAACATGTCAGGCAAAGGACAAGCATGAGCCCTCACAGCCCTCTTCACTCACAGGTGAAAGCAGCAACGATGCACAGAACGTGGGGCCTCAGCTAAGCCCCGATACAGGGAAGGTCCCAGAAGATCTCTCCAGGGGCTCAGAAATCTCCTTAGTGACGTTTCAGAGGGGAGACTCTGAGGAGTCAGAAAGTGATGTGATGCTTTGGAGAAGGGACTCCAGAAGTGATTTACTGAGGAACTTAGACAAAAATCTAGAAAACACGCTAAAAGGCCACTTGGGCAGAAAGTTGGGACAGATGAGCAAGAACCTGATGAGTGTGCATGGACCCTGGCTTCCTGTCAACCACTCTTATGCCACGGCTGACACTCACATGGAAACCAAAAATCTGGGAATCTTAAATGGCTGGGAACCCTGCTTGAACGCCTCTCACGGGGCCTTCTTTCTCGATACAGACATTCAAAAGGTGCTAGAAGCACATGTTACAAAGTTCTGGGTGAAGCACCGGTGGGGCCTGCCCCTCAAGGTCCTCAAGCCCGTGAGTCTCATTAAGTTGAAAAGGGCTCAAGCCTCACCCATTCTGCAGTTCCCCCTTCCCCCCTCACCCAGCTGTGTATCTGGGGCCTATTCGATAGTCAAGTTTGTTGAGTTCCCGGGAAAACCTCCTCAGGCCTGTCCAGGAGAGAAAGTGAAAACAGGAGACTCAGTTCCCACCCTGGCAAGGCCGCTCCTTGCCCCCTCACCTGTGTGTGAGGACATGCAGAGTGCTCTGGGAGGGACCCCACCTGGTGCTGACCATGGGCCTGCAAAGGCCTCTCTGACTAGACAGGTGGAGTGGGCCGAGAGGGGCAGCTTAGATCTCAGTCCAAGTTCAGCAATGGCCAGGAATGAGCCAAGAGGGAAGAGTAGGAGCGGGGCCTCACAAGACCCCTTCAATAGGGTAACAACGCTGGAGATGAACTTAGGATCCCAATCTTTGAGGGCCAAAGAGGTGAAGGAGACAATGGAGGCCAGTAGGTCCCCTGCTCTTGAACCAGAATTTGGAACAAATGTACAGACAACATCCCAAAACATCAGTGCACATTTGAGGAATGTGGAAGCTCCAAGGACCAGTAGCGTCTCCCTATTCCCTAGAATGTCTGTTCTCCAAGATCCAGGAGAGCCATGCCTTAAAAATGAGGTCACTAATGAACTTAAGTCCAAAGTGAAGGTACCGTCAAAGAACCAACCTCAAGACTGTCCCACACACAAGCCCCTTGCTGCAGACAACTTGGCTTCTCAGGTGCACCATCGCCACTTCCAGAGAGAGCTCCCTGGAGTCAGGCTAGCTTCCCATGTGTTATGTGGCCTTAAGACACCCCAAAGGAGCAGCCAAGGGAAGCAGGAACCCAGGATCTTAAATGTTCAAGACTCTTGGAAGAATCAGAGAGAAATGATCGTCCCTGCCTGTAAGAGAGAGAATTGTAGGAGGCCCAACCCAAGAGAGCAGGCAGAAGGGCCTGAGAAATTGGGGACTTCTCATACCATTAGAAAGACCCCCTCTGCCATGGCTATGGGCACAGTAGACTCTGTTGGGAGGAAATACCTTCAGCTGGGGCCAGAGAAGAAACAGGGTCCTCCAGAAAGTTTCTTCAGACAAAGAATGAGGCTCTTTTTTCAGGGGATTTTCTCTAATAAAAAACTCAAAGGTCAGGATGCTCTGCTAAACTACAAGCTCAATTCACCCCCTGCCCAGGGCCAAGGACCAGTCAAAAGCATATCAATTATGGACCCCAAGATCCCTGAGGCTCAGACACTCATAACAACTGTAGGACAGATTCTAGAGGAGAAAATTGCCATTCACCATGGACTTCATACCACAGCGTTAAATGAGCACATACAGGAACCCCAAGCCCCAGTGTGTGGGTGCTTTTGCTACAACAGGCTTCCCTTCTACTCAGAGAAAGGGGGAGTGATGAGTCATACAGCCTGCAGTCAGCAGGCCAACTCTAAGGACCAGAATTGTTCCACTTGGGAAGGGCAAGTCCGACAGACAGAGTCCTTGGAAAGTATCAGATTCAATGATGAGCCCTTGGGCCTGAGTTGCCTCACATCTCTGCCCCCCAAGAAGATTTTGTCTCCAGTCCATCTCTGCCAGGATGGGCCAAAGGTGCCAGGTGCCCTAGGCCACCATCAACACTGCCCGAGGCACTGTCTTTTTCAGGTGGGTGTCTTGCCTGGTCGACCATAAACATGTCTCTATGAAAAAAATCAGTCCATTTTCTCAACACATTCAAAATATTTAATTTTCCTCAATATATGTTTGTTTCCTCCTAAGAGGTTGTGCAGTGGCTTCTGTCTTTGTGTGCTCCGTGTGCACTTTGGCTTCTCGAAGGGAGGGGCATAGAGGGAGACTGACATTGCAAGCTCACTCCTTATCTCAAGTTCCTTCATTGCACCGTATGTTTTCACAAATAACAAAAACTACTCAAACAAAAAGAGAAAAACCCATGAAGACCCCACCCCCAGGATCTGGTTCAACCCATCTTTCTCCTGCTTCCGCTCTACTTTGAACTTTATGCAGCTGTAGGGGACAGGTTTACGGGGACATCGCAGGGCTGGACATTCCCACTCAGGTTCCAGAAAGTATCAGAGCAAAATGGATGGAAGTTTGGGGGGTGGGGGTAATGGTGTGGAGGTTGCTGGGCCCTGAGTTCAGAAGCAAGCTCTTGGTGTGAAATTGATAACATCTGCCCTTAAGACCCCTTCTCTCCCTGATGAAGGCTGGGGTGGAGATGGCCCTGTGAACCCCTCTTAGCTTAGCCTGGATAAAATACAGCTCACCCTCCCCACCCCTGCCTTTCCCACACTTAGAGCCCAGTGAGGAAGGCACTCTTTGCTCTGTGTGGATGGGTGGCAGCGTCAGGGAGTCTGCTGAGGGCTGAGTTCACCTCTGCCCCAAATGAATGAATGGCCATGGTCATGGGTCACCTGCCTTCCTCTATGTAAATCCTAGGGAAGCAGTTCTGGCCGATGGAATGGAGCATGACTGTGGTACTTACTAGTATCTGACAGGCGGACACGATGAACCTCAGGCGGAATGTGCGTAAAGAACTGAAAAGGTGGGATCCAAGGAAGAAGGCAAAGTGGCACAGAGTGTTCATCAATGTGCAGTGACGGAGGAGCCCGAGGTCCCACCGCCATCTACCAGCCTGGGGCTGGGGGGAAGGGCTGCACCCCAGCTCCCTGACCACAGACCTAAAGAAGCCACCTCTAGGGCCAAACTCAAAAAAGTAAAACAGGGAGGGTTAGTGTCCTCACAGTAGTTAATAAGCTTGTGCATCCTCACCTCCTGAGAGGATGACTTAGGACAGGTGGGAAGCCAGGACTAGGGAATTCGGGATGCCACACCCAGCATGGGAACCTTCAGAGAAACACATGAACCAAGACTGCTCCGTGGGAGATATGGGGACTCAAAGGGCTGAGAGACCAGCTGCCATCACGTAAGTCTTACTTGGCTCCAGTCTCGCTCACCCCAGAGCCGGGCAGCAGAGGCCATCGGACAGGACGTGGCACACGGGAAAGTGGAAGTGACCTGCCCAGGATGGGGGCTGCAGCCCAGGAGGGGTCCCTTTGTGCTCCGCGCCTAGTGCAGCTGCCCCCTCCCCGCCCCCAGCCACACCTGAAGCAGGAAGACAGCAATGTCTCTGGGGTGACTGAGAGGATGGGGGCAGCAGTGAGAGCTCAGCCAGGACCTGTGGGAAGGGTGACACCCAGGGCAGAGAGTGCCTTGCACCCTCAGGAGCTCAGGGCCTTGAGCCTGGCTGCTGATGGGTACTCCCGGGAGCACAGAGAGGTGAGTTCTTGGAGTGCACGAAGCTGGGCGTGGACCCCACGTTCCTGTCAGAAGTGCCACAGACTGGGACGCTGGTGAAACGAGGAACAGGAAGGAGCAAGTCCCTCTGCCCATCTGCTGCTGCTCAGTCTTCCATAAAGTGCAGGAAGGCCAACTATGGAGAGGCCCACACAGGGACCTCACACACAGAGACACCTCCCAACAGAGACAGACAGAGACCTCACAGAGAGACTCTCCACGGAGACCTCTCTCACAGAGATGACATGCAGAGACACCTCCCAACAGAAAGACACACAGAGGCCTCAGAGACACTGCCCAACAGAGAGACAGAGACCTCACAGAGACTCTCTCCACAGAGACCTCTCTCACAAGATATTACAGAGATTCTCTCCAGAGACACTGCCCAACAGAGACAAGAAAGACCTCACAGACACCTCCCCAAAGGTAACACACACAGACCTCAGAGACACCACCCAACAGAGACCTCCCACAAGATGACTGGCAGACACTCGCCACAGAGACCTCACAGAGATATCTCTCAACAGACACCTCTCTCAGACACTTTCCACAGAGACCTCATACTAAAACCCCACACCAATGTCACAGAGACTTCCCAAAGATCCCTCCAACACTGGCCTCACCCAGAGACAATACACAGGGGCCACATGTGGCCTCAGAGATACTTCACAGCAAGACCTCACAGAGAGACTTCCTGTAGAGACAGGACAGACTCCCACTGCCCCACAGAGACTTGGCATGGACCTCACATCCCTGTGCCAGGATCCTGAGCATCACCATGTCCTTCCTAGGGCACATGATCCCTTAGGGAACTGGCAGCACCAAAGAGGTCTCAGCTGTGCCCCCTTGAGGTCCTCAAGACACTGTTAGTATTACACTAAGTGGGGGTGTCTGCTTGGGTGGGATGCGTGGGAAATTTTGTTCTTTTGTAGTATCATTGCCTCTGAACACGAAATTACAAATTCCCTGTGTAGATTTGTAAAGTTAATTGTTCCACGGGTTTTCATTAGTTGGAGAATCGCAAATTTAAAAAACAACTAAAACACAGTCAGTCTCCAATGAGACAAAATCTCTTTCTTCCACTTTCAGTTACTGTCCAGCCAAATGCTATCACTGTCACATTTTTATTTTGTTGGGGACAAGACCTGAACTTGACATGACTTGTTTACTTTGGGACATCATGACAGTGTGCAACAAATAGACTCTAGGAACGAAAGAATCCAGGAACGAGTCCTCTGGACTTCACACTTGCCTCCCAGGAGGCTAGCTCACTAGCACAGCATCTTGCACATTAACAGCTCGCACCAGATTTGTGGTGGTAGTTTTATTTTTTTTTTTAACAAACACTCATGAGCATTTTTCACAAATAAGTCATATTCCTGGCAATATTCTTATATCATCTGGCAAAATTATACTTAAGCATGTTATTCCTTAAAATGTAGCAATGCCCTCAAAAAATATTATTGCACATGTTCCAGGATATGACAGTCCTAAAGTTCAGCTAACATGCTTAAAAGGATGACCTATTAGGATTTTATTTTCAAATAATTCTTTGAAATGCATATTTTCTAAGGCAGCATGCATTGTGTAATAATTACAGAGCTGAAAAGGACACATGCTTAAAACAATATTGAAATATTACAAAACATATCACTGAGGTCACGCTGACACACCTATAGCCTAATGCAGGTACTGAGGAAGGGCTGCTTAACATCCAAGTGGAAGGCAGTGTTCATTCAATCATCCTTTGTATTGTAATAACAAATAATAACAGGCCTCACATGTATCCAGCAATTTTCAAAGGGTGCACTTGCGGAGACTACCTATTTCTCACTGCTAATAGGCAGCCAGTTGCCCTTGCCTTGGTAAAGTCTCTTTTAATGACAGTTGTCAAGTGTGTATCTGGTTAAGTCTCTCAAATGATCCATCGGGATGACAGCCTCAGGCCTCTCTCTAAGGGGAGCGGGGCTGATACCAGGGCCTATTTATCTCAATGAAAAGTAATCCTGCCTTCTGTTCCCCATAATTAACAAGTGTGTAACTATCAATTTTTCTACTCCCTTAAGTCACTGAATCATAAAATGATGGAATATGGTCATGGTTTCATCTAACATTCTCCAGATCTTTTTTTACGGTGCAACATATGCTGGTTAAGTTTATTAATCAGAATAAAATGGGATCGATTGGGGAAAAGTTCATAGAGGAAAATATCTTTTCTAAGTTGACTATCTTAATGGGGTTCAAATAAGTGATTATTCTTTCATCATTTGAATTAAAGTTGAGGATAAAAGATATATAGAGACAAGTGAGAATGACAATACAACATATCAAAACCTCTGGGATTCAGTGAAAGCAGTAATAAAAGGGAAGTTTATATCATTAAAGACCTATCTCAAGAAACAAGAGAAATCCCACGTAAACAACCTAGCATGACATCTTAAAGAACTAGAAAAAGAAGATAAAAACAACCCAAAGTCAGCAGAAGAAAGGAAATAATAAAAATTGGAGCAGAATGGAATGAAATAGAGAACACACAGTCTATACAAAAAAATCAATAAAACAAAGAGCTGGTTCTTTGAAAATATTAATAAAATTGATAAACCCCTGACTAGACTCACTAAAGAAAAAAGGGAAAAGACCCATATAAACAAAATTAGAAATGAGAGAGGTGTCACCACAGACATTACAGATACACAAAGGATCATACTAGAATATTATGAAAGAATATATGCCACCAAATTTAATAACCTAGAAAAAAATGGATAAGTTCCTAGACATATATAACCTTTCTAGACTAAATCATGAAGAATTGGAAACTCTAAATACCAGTATACTTGCTGCTCCATCGAGCATCAAGCATTAGTGAGGTAAGTTAGACATTGCCCTGCCTTTAGGGAGCCCATGATGTATGGGGAGAAAGAAAGTTCACAGACAATTTGAACATATGACAACTCTGGGTGGTATCGGAGCATGTGAGAAGGGCATCTAACCTGGAGGGGAAGCAAGGGAGGAAGAATGTTGTCAGAAAAGACTTTTTAAAGAGATGCTAACTGAACAGGGTCTTGAAATTTGAACTGGAGGGGACCAAGCTAAGTGTAGGGAATGATAGTACAAAAGTATGTAAATGGCATAGAGGGTGGCACATGCAACTGCCGGGAGAGTATAAAGAGAGAGGAGGTAGAAGAGGATGCAGTTATGCAGTGCCTTGTTATGATGGGTCATTTATGCCCTGCCAAGGAGTTTGCATCCTTTGGCCACTGGTATCCATTCCTTCCTTGCTTTGGGAGGAGTTATTTTACCTTGTGTGAGTCTTGGTGGCATTCTTAATTTAAACACCCTTTGCTATCTCAGCAGATGGATGGGCAGTTGACTCAAGCTAAGCCAATTGAAACATCACCAAGTGTGAGAGGGAAAGTAGTTAAGGAGAATATGGAAACATCTTCATTACAGAGAAAGTGATGGG